CTCACTTCACCTAACCACACCTCACCTCACCTCCCAGTACCACGTGTGCTCATTCAGTGGCAACAAAGAGATACTGCCAGATGAATATTTTGCAAAATATGCATTTATATGCAGTTATCTAGGTAATATGCACTTATCATAGAAATCACGCAAATATGCATTTGCATATTTCATATGCAAATGCATAACTATCCGGGCCCTAATCATGCCAGTGGTGCCACGTGATGGTCTAAAACCACATTGAGATTCTGGGAGGAAGTTTTCCGCCTCAGAAGAGTCTGTTTAGGAGGATTCTGGCGATAATTTTGACCAGCTATGGAGGCAGAGATCCCACGGTTATTATTGCCAAAGTCTGACAGGTCTCATTCTTATAAATATTGACAATGGAAGCATTTTTAAGAACTTGGGGATTTCCTCTTTCAATATATTCTCCAGGAAGTGGAGACGGCTGGTAAGCAGGAGTCCTCCTGCTTTTTACACCTGTGGGATTCCATCAGGTCCTGAGGCTTTGTTATTTTTCATCTGTTTGATGGCAGTAGCTACCTCATCCACGGATGGAGGATAGCTGAAGTGGGTCAGCTCTGGATGCTGAGGGACCTGCTGGGTAGTCAGTACATCCACATCAGTGTTTCGGTTGAGCAATGAATGGTAATGCTCTTTCCAGCGCTGAAGGATGCCTTCTTCATCTTTAATTATGAAGTTATCATCAGATGAGCGGAGGGGTACTGCGCCACAAGTGGTTGGCCAATAAAATGTTTAAATGGAATTGAAAAATTTGCGCATCTTGTGCTGATCTGCATGTTTGTCACAACAGTGTTGAGAGTATCCCATTCGGCACTGGGATATGCGTTGTTTGCTGTTGGGTTGTTTATAAGCCCATGTTTGAGCTGCTATCTGAAAGCATGTGCTACTGCTGAGTCCTCCAGACACTTAGTATTAAAACCTCTTCTAGAGGCTTGCTGCCTTCGACGTTTTGAGGCGACGAGAAGTGAGAGCTTGGCTCTGACAAGTCGATGATCAGTGTCACAGTGGTCTGAGCCACGCATAACACGGGTGATGAGGACATCTCGGCGATCTCTTTCTCTGAGATGCCAGTGTTTGGATCGTGGGTGTTGCCACGAACACTTGAACATGTCGGCCTGCCGAAACAAGATGTTGGTGATAGTAAGGCTGTGCGCAGCACACTTGCTGAGGAGGAGTAGGCCGTTGGCATTGCACTTGCCTAGTCCATTTCTCCCTATGGTTCCCTGCCAAATGCTAGCATCTTTGCCAACTCTGGCATCGAAGTCGCCAGGGCACAACCTTGTCTTCTCTGGGGATAGAGGTTAGCACCCTGTTGAGGTTGGCATAAAGGCCTCCTTAATGTCATCCTCTGCATCCAGTGTTGGGGTGTATGCACTGATGAAAAAGGCATGACGTGAGTGATTCAGTGGGACTCGAAGCGTCTTGAGGCACTCGTTGATCCCAATAGGCATTTCAGTTAGCCTGTGTAGGATGCGTTGGTGGATGGCAAGCCAACTCCATAAATGCAGTTTTCTCCTACATCATCTTCTTCCTTGACCCCGTTCTGCTGGCTCATCTGGAGACGGATCCTGGCTGCTTATGTCGATGTTATACCCAGCCAGCTCTTTTGCCAAGGGCAGTTCTTCTTTCAGGACGCTTATTTGTGCCAGTATCCAGAAGGTCCTGACATTCATGCAGCGACCATAAGAGGTTGTATAGTTTGTTTTTGTTTGGATCTGTGATTTTGACTGTGTTTTCCACCGCATAAGGATGACCTTACTGGGTGCAGTTGCCCAGTCAGGTTGGGTTTTTAGGCAGGCTATGTTTAGGGCACCCTTTCTAGCCACCTCCCCATGTGGGGTGAGTAGAGTGGCTCCTCTAAAGGGCTACTCAGTCGCACAGACAGGACCGGATTGCACTGCTGCCTAGATCCCAGTGCATAATCGACCATCTTATCTGTGCTGCCCATGTGTCTGTCCATCATGCATTGCCTTCGTCCACCGGTGTAGTCGTTGGGTTTCCACGGTGTTCACCTCTTCCGCCATTGGGGTTTTATTGGAGCTCTGTAAGCATGTCTGCCTGATGCGGGGCTCCACCACAGATTTTTCTCTCGGGGTTTACTCCCGTAGCCTTGTACCTGCCAAGGTTAATCGGCAAGGCAGCGGGGCAATGGTTGGTAGGCGCTAGGACGTGTCCACATGCCAGTGGGCCTGTGCACCGTCCCTCTGAGGCCCACAGCTACTCCGAGATCCCCTACTGATCTAGCCTGGGCCCACGAGGCACCCAGTTACCGTGTGTTGCCACGAGGAGGCACAGCAGGAGTCTTGATGGTGAACTTATGCAAGTTGCTTCCCTGTTCGCCACGAGGACTAGCCAGCGGCGGCTGAAAGCGAGAGGAGCAAGCAGTGCCTGCATAACGCTAACATAGTGTTGCTACACTAGACGCATTACACCACCTGTGTGCAACACACACACACACACACACACACACACACACACACACCCACCACACACACACACACACACCCCACCACACACACACACACACCACCCCCCACCACACACACACACACACACACACACACACACACACACACACACACACACACACACACACACACACACACACCACCACCACACAAACACATCACCCCCACACACACATTTCCTCCCACACATTCCTCCGACAATCATTCAGACCAACACTTGATATCCTCTTAGGGTGATGGAACTTTCAAGATGGCTGATAAATATTTCACTTATGACCGTAAACACAATTTCCCAAGAGATAATATGAGAAATGTTTGCCGGACTATGGAGTAAAGTCCGTTATATCGAGGGTCCGTTACACGTAAAACCTCCATCTAACGAACTATATAAAGAGACAATTCCTTTATATGGAGGTTTTACCGTCATGTTCTTCTCAAGGAAAACTTATGGCAGTTCACCTGAAGACATAATCTACCTAGAATTACCTTACTTAATTAACACCAATATTTAACACTAATACGTGGATCACCTGAAGATTAACCTAACCTAACCCGAAGAAGTAGCCCCCTAGCTTATTTTACCTCAGGATTAACCTAACCTAACCCGAAGAGTAGCCCCTTGTTACCTCAGGATTAACCTAACCTAACCCGAAGAGTAGCCCCCTAGCTTATTTTACCTCAGGATTAACCTAACCTAACCCGAAGAGTAGCCCCTAGCTTATTTTACCTCAGGATTAACTAACCTAACCCGAAGAGTAGCCCCTAGCTTATTTTACCTCAGGATTAACCTAACCTAACCCGAGTAGCCCTAGCTTATTTTACCTCGGGATTAACCTAACCTAACCTGAAGAGTAGCCCCTAGCTTATTTCCACCAGATTAACCTAACCTAACCCGAAGAGTAGCCCCTAGCTTATTTTACCAGGATTAACCTAACCTAACCCGAAGAGTAGCCCCTAGCTTATTTTACCTCAGGATTAACCTAACCTAACCTAACAGTGTTTAATCTTCCGGCAATGCCAAAACTTACTTATTAAACATCTTTTTACCTTCAGTCATACACCATCAGTCATACACCATCAGTCATACACCATCAGTCATACACCATCAGTCATACACCATCAGTCATACACCTTCAGTCATACACCTCAGTCATACACCATCAGTCATACACCATCAGTCATACACCATCAGTCATACACCATCAGTCATACACCATCAGTCATACACCATCAGTCATACACCATCAGTCATACACCATCACACACCTTGATGTTATCGCTAAAATATTATTATTACGCTTCAACAGTTAAGGTCTAAACGTACTGTAGCTGTTAATTACATGAGACTATTAATGATTACGAGAGAGAGAGAGTTAACAGCACACCTCACCTTGAAACGGTCGCTACTTTGCCTGGGGGAGTTAATTAACAAGCTCGTACAGGTGTGCTGGGCTCTGCGTCTCACCTGTCTGTGTTCGTTGTCTGTTATCTAGCTGCTGATGAGGAGGAGGAGGAGTGTAATTATCTACAGCCTTTGATGCCGTATACAGGTAGCCCTTAGTCACACACACACACACACACACACACACACACACACTTCACAAGATGCTAATTAATTTGTTTCTTTTTCCTTCCCCGACGATAATTAGTCAGTTTAGTCACACAGTGTTCCATTTAACGACACATTCACTTCATGGTCTACAGTGATCGATCAATGTCACAATGAACACTGTCTCCTGTTGTCTCGGTAAAGTTGTCAGAATCCTCGTAAAGATACTTTTTAATTTCTCCCTTCCTCCTTCATCACTCTCTACTTGTAATTACCTCTATTATGCTCTTCTCTTATCCTCTCATCTCATCATTCCATTTTTATCTTTCCCTTCCTCTTCTCTTGTTCCCACACAACTCAGCGTCACTTTTTAAGACTTCACCCTTGAACAGATTTCTCAATCACCTTTACCGCCTCTCACTTCAAGTCCATTTATACCTAATCATCTTGTATTATGCTGGGATGCTGTGGTTGGGTGGATACAGAACTCATCTCCTACCCAAAGATCGTTTATTTGCACCCCAGATAACCCCTTAGTTCACCCAGTTGTGAATGGGTACCCAACTTAACTAAGGAAAGTGATTGGTAGTCGAATGCCTCCTTGGGGACCACCAGAGCCATTTAGTCTACATTGTGTTATATCATCATGGCTTATAGGACCTTCTTTCACCCCTGTCTTAATATTTTTCTAAAGCCTCAGTCCCCAGATATGAGGATAGTCCCCATACAAATACCAGTTATTCCACACAGAAGGAAGAAAGGAGGAGGGAGGAGAGAGAGAGGGAAGAGGGAGAAGGAATATGGGGGGAGGAAGGAACAAGGAAGAAAGGGGGAGAGCCATGAGGTACACACAGAGAGATGGAAGATGAGAGAAGAAAAGTATAAGCCAAAGATGGGGTTAAGGACTTGGTACCAAACATAAATAAATAAATATATTAATACACGTGGAGACTTACCTT